CAAAATAAACCTTGCTTCGTACTTTACAAAAGATCTTAGATAGAGAAAGGTAGGGAGTTTTGACATTTAGCTTACCATACTCACTGAAAAATCTTTCTCTGCTTTGCTTTTTGTTTGCTTTTTTTTTTTAAACCAGGTTCCTCAACTGAAATGTCTTTGATCACTACACACCTAAAGATCAACCCAGCTCAGGAATCAAAGAAATAGCACACAGAAATAAAATTCCCACATTTTTTTCTATCTTCAGGGTCCAAAGGAATACTGACTGTAGGGAGTTTTACCCAAAGGACTGCAGAAGACAGTATATTCCAGAAGCAGCAATTTAAGAGATGAATACACAAAGAAGCATGCAACTTCTTAGACAACAACTCCAGATACTGCCAACTATTATGAAACAAATCAGCTAAAGGTCTCCTCATTTTCATGACGTATACATGACATATCCAGCTTCAAGTATAAGCGCAGCAATATTTCATTGCACACCTGTGAAATCTATGACTGCAGTGAAGAATACGTATGTAACTAATGCAATACTGCAAGTGTTGATTTTTATTTTTTTTTCTACTCGCAATATAATTATTGGGATTCAAAGAACATTTCTCAGCCATGGTACATACTGAAAAATGACCTCTCACCCCAGTATCAGACAATCTTTTGTACACACAGCCCAAAACAACACAAAAAGATAACCCCAGTAATTATCACATCCTGATGCTTCACTGCCATGTCTTATCCTTGCTTCTGACTGTTTACAATCAGCAGGTAATTCTTTGACAGCATTCTATCATTCCGTGAGAAAACTCTTCTCCAGTGCTTTACAAAGACTTTAAATACACACACAGTTACCACAAAAACATTTACCTCTCTGAGCTCCAGCCTATGCAATGCCTTTCTAATCTATCAGAATCATACTCCCCATTCATTGTGTACCAGCTCAGACAGTAGCTTTCATGAGCCAGGGGAGCAAAGATGTGGTGCAACTGTTTTGAACCCCTTTTGGAGGCGATGCTCCACCACTGCCAAAAGCCTTCCTCTGCAGCTTTTGGAAAAATACCACGCTTTCCTTGACATACCCCTAGCTGGGAAACCACTGCTTCAAACCCTTCTGCTGTTTCCTGGTCATTGCCCAAAGTTGTAATTTGTACAGACAGATACTGTAACTAACTCCCTTAGCTGAAATTTTTGCCACCACTGGTCACCATCCCAGAGCTGTACAGAAGTTAGTGTGTATTTCTTCAGCCCATGCACAGGACTCTACCACATGCAGGCAGGTGTTCAAGGAATGCCTGCAATTTCTAGGCACTCAATCACCTGTTTACCCCTGCCTTTGATATCGTAGATTGTCCTGCCTATCTCATCTTCACCACTTCAAGAGTCGCAGTAGTGACTAGCATTCCACAAATACAGAATAATGGCAAACCCTGTCTACAAAACCAGCATTGACACCCCACTGACCTGTGGCTCATCCACAGAGAGAGAAAAGCAGCTCAAGGAAAGATGGTTTTGGTTTGTTTGGGTGTTTTTAACATTGCAAACACATGAGATGCAGAAAACATCACTGGATGGAAAACTAGGGCATTTGAGTCCATGCTGCCAACAACTCTGCGAGTACTGTGTTTGCGTTCCTCTCTGCACACCAAAATGTCTCTCAGAAGCCTTTAAGAGGGATCCACGCCAAGGAAGCACCTGGGCTTAAGCCAACAGTGTTACATACAGTTAAGGATGCATCTCTCCAGCTCAGCCGTCAGGCACGTACATGCTGGAACCATACAGCAGCGTCAGCAAAAATTCTAACAGAAAAAATTTCTAGCACAGGTATCACAACTGTGTTAAATATGATCACAAGTGGTAATGATCACAGAGATCATTGATTTCAGCCCTGGCCAGCTAAACACAAAACAAACAAACAAAAAATTGATTAGAAGATAGAACCAGATCCTAAACAGAAAATGACAACAATTCTGTAAGAAGCACCAAGCACATACTTAAAGAGACAGCATTATAAAGAATGGATGGAAGGAGGAATGACTTGACAGTATCGCTGGGTATCAATTTGCAGTTCACCTTCAAAAAGAAAAGGCAGCCCCACAACTGTTATGAAGATTCCTCATTTCAGGCAAAGCAACTGGCAAGAAGTAATTCTTCTTAGCAGCATATTGAATTATGTATTTGTACATAAGCCTTAAATATGTATTTTAATTTCACCTGAGTAAATTACCAACATAAATCCTACCCTTCTCAAATATCTCTGAATTTTTAATTAACCTAATATCATCATTTCAACCAGGCAGTCAGTAACATATGACTCATATTCGGAAGTAAACGCACCTGCTTTTCAACAACATTTCTAATTAGTGATTCATTTTTACCCTTTACATGATGTCGAAGCCAATTTGGGTCATACCGTTTTTAGCCGGCAATGAGTCCTTTCAGCTCGCAAATAACACACACGGAATTGCTGTGTTGTCGGTTTGAAGGACATTTTTAAACACACTGTGGCAAATAGAATACATTACCAAAACACATCATTTTACTTCTGATGTGCATCAGTTCACCATGAGCTTCCAACAGACAAGATTTTACCAGGAACATTTAAGCTTTGATTTGAAGTGATGTCCCACCATTTCACCATCTTTGGTCTATGGCATTGAGGGAGTGCTACCATATGTTAAATATAATGAAGTGCTTATTTCTGACATTACAGACAACAGGAAAAACAAACAAAGAAACAAACAAACATGGTTTCTGAATACTTAGGTGTCCCCTAAAAACATTGCAGCGAACTGCAGTGAGACTCTGAGGGAAGTCTTTACCGAACTGCCTCCTCTTCCCGACAGCACTACATCTTCAAGAAGTAAGCAGGTAAGCAAAGGGAAGCCTGCTTCAAAGGTGATTTATCACCTTTCTACTCTGAATATTTCGTTTCTCCAGGACACACACCTTCAGATGGCTGAAGCTGTTCTCACATAGATCTGATATGCACTTGGCCACTGAAATACGCATATGACATAAGGTATATCTGCTGAAGCTTTCAAATCCTCTAACTAAAATGTGACCACTTCTCATATGCAACGCCCTATTCATTCTCAAATCGGTTTGCACATCGGATTTCTCAAAGCTACCATCATTAGCTTGACTAATAGCACACTGGTAAATCCTATACATCTCCAAAGGAAAACAATAAACTTCCTTCTGCTTCAAGTCATATAGATTTTATACACAGAAGCTAGCTCCTTCTGACATCTATCTCTAAATTTCTTGATATAATGAGAGTACCGTGCCTGCCATGTTTCCTTTACTTGGTGTGCTAACTCATATTTTAAATCAAAACAATACAAAAGACATGAAAAACATCGGACTCAACAATGGTTATGTCATCCATTTATCAATTTTAAACCATCACTTCAACAGTTTAAAGTCTCTGTGTCCTAGTTATGAAAGTCCCTGTACAGCTATAAGAAAAAAAGATAGTTCTAAGATTCATGGGTGAATGAAACATAGGCAGTCGAGCTAAAAGCTGGCCTAAAGCCACTGGCTCCCCGGGCAGGCATGGCACCTTTGGGCAATGCAGGTACTGGGCTTGCAGTGCCATATTTTCACATATGTAGAACCCATTTCTGGTATCCTGCAACCCTCTGAATAATAGATGTTTTAGAAAGGAATGAGCAAACTATACACGGAAGAGGATCACTAGCAGGATTAGAGGCTGGGGAGTTATGGTAGGTTGGGCTCTAGGGCAGGTACTTCTTGTATTACTTCCCCATGTGTATTGCCAGTACTTACTGCCGAATGCCAGGAGGCTTAGGAGCTTATTTCTATTCAAAACAAATAACCGAAAGACTACAGCCAAAAAAAAAAAATGCACTACTCAAATTAATTCCAGATGATATGAAAATATTAACGGCCCAGTTCATTCCCAAATAATTAGAAACAATGCTGACAACTAGAAACTATGGGATTTTAGTATGCAGTGATTTGAGTACATCCATAAAAAGCTTTAGCAGTTTTCAGAAGCTACTCAAAGCAGATTTGTTGACAACTGGGTTTAAATTACTTTGTATTATAGTAGAACAGCCATGTATTAAACAGACACTGCTACACACGAATTTTTGAACAATCTCTGGGTAACAAGTGGTTCCAGTGATTTAACTTAACAGTTATTTCTTCGTTTTCTTTTTTTCTTCCTTAAAAAACTTCATCAATACTAGCTTCGTGCAACCTGCGTTAAACAATCCTCTTCATGTCTACCAGTAAAAGGCAAGTGCAAAAGGTTTATCAACAAACACACAACGCAAAAAACCTCTATCCTTGGGTTATTTAAGTGAAACACAACCTCAGTAAATACAGACCAAAACAAAATTCCAAATCCGCTGTATAAAGAATCTAATAAGGGTCCTCCATGGAATTCTGTAAGATCCCTTCCTTCTCATTTAAGGTAGACAAGGAACCAGAGCTTTGTGAAACAAACAGAAATGTAGGCCTATGAGGCTATCAGAAGCAAACCTTGAAATAGAAAAAAATCTGGGAAAAGGCAGAATCAAATCATCCCTAGTGAGATATATTTTAATAGGCTGTGATTCTACAAAAATTGGTGGCCTCAGTGACTTAGAAACAAATCATATCTTAAGAATTCAGTAAGTTTAAGTGAAAAGCAAGCATCCAAATTCTGGTCTAATTTGCACAACAGATTCAGAAAAAGCAGAAGGCGACCTTGCGTTTGCATCACAGAAGACAGGTGGAGCAAATATTTTTCATTTGCTGTCCCCTCTAATTAACTAAAAGTGTCCACTGGAAGCAAAATCATCCCTGACTGTCTAAAACCTTCCATGTTGAATTCAAGACTAGCTTTCAGTTAGGAAAAAGGCAGCTATGGAACAGTCATATCCTTAACGAAGAGAAAATATCAAGCAGAATGAATGAATGGAAAGTAATTATTTCTTGATCCAGCACATCATATTTCTCCTGACCAAAGAAGAAGGTGTGTTTCAGTAAAGCTTTACCTTTCTCACAATGACTTCCTGTGAATCCAGAAGGGCAGACGCATTTGTTAGGGGCTACACAAGTTCCACCATATCTGCACCCCTCTTCACAGAATGCTGAAAAATAAAAGGAATATGTGGGTACTACTTCATTTTTTGAAAATTTATTATACATTTTCAAGATACAAAAAAAAACATCTAAATACTAAGCAATTAACAGAATTCAACATATTAAAATTCAGTCCACCTGCAAACACTAAGAGAAGTAATGCACTGAAATGACATTAGGAAAAATCTCAGATTACACCATAGGCAAACCACCTCACCAATAAAAGATTAATAACCATCTGGAAGAAGGAGAGAGGGAAAAATACAATGTACAATTTTAATGGGGCCGATCTTCTTTCAATTATACCCAATGTAAGTATTACAATTACAATGCTCTGGTGATCCACAGAAAACAGGCTGGTCAGATTGGTGTTAACTACTTTGTTTCTCACTTCTATCAAATACACTTTATTGACATGTCTGTAACCACATAATATTTTCCTATTTTTTATTTTTTAAGTGTAAAGTACATTTTGTGGAATCAAGAAATGAAATAGGGTGAGCCTCGTGACTGAAAACAGAGAGGAAGGGATCAACCCCAAGATAATGCCTCTTACTGAGGTGCAATTCTTGACAGAGCAATACATGAGTGCTTTAGAAGTGCATTTGTCCAATAACTAGGATTTTAAACAAATTATGGGTCTCACATCTTTTCCTGTGAGCACCGTGTGGTGGTCCTCTCGCTTAGAGCAGGTTTAGCAGGAAGTCCACTAACTGTGCAAGAAGTATGCCTGCAGTTTAACGTTATTCTTTGTTCTTTCTGTTTGTTGTATTTGTACAAGGAGGGGAACGGAGTTCAGAAGAGGAAAGGAAACAGCAAGCATCAGGACATGATCTATTTTGTCCTGTTAACTCAAGTAAGACCTTTGCTAAGACTAAGAGCAGGCCCTACCCACAACGCACTCCCCACCCTCTCCTAGATATTTATTGAACTTCACAAGTTACTCAGTGGGTTTGACTGCACTTATGAGGGAAGTTACAATTAATATTTAAACAGCAGCTCTCTGCATCTAAGCTAATAACAGAATTGCAAAGTGTTTCCTGCAAGCTAAAATCACAGATGGAGTGTTGGCAAAGAGATGTTAGAAACGCTATGAAAAGGCTTAAAGTGCTAGATAACAGAAGAAACGTTTAAGATTTATTTTCCAATGCACTAAAAAGAAAAATAAAGCGAATAAAGGACTAAACATTAAAAAGAATCTTTTGCAATTGTTAACCACTTAGAGGCAAAAAAGCACACCATCCTCTCTCTTGACTGAATTGATAGCCGGATCTGCCTTACTCTAAACATATAATTCATAGCGTGCCATACTGTTTTATGGAGGATAATACGGGGAGAAGAATGCTAAAGTCGTTTAGAGAAGATGGTAGTAGAATATCATAAGCACTCCTGGGACTGGCGCAAGGCAGTGGTGTGGAGAAAGCATGGTTCTTGCCCAGTAACACTTCCTGCTCATCAATGCACACACTCCATATGGGAATCTTCTGAAATACATCTATTTTGAAACCAGTCAATTCCTACTGTATGGGAAAAAGAGAAATATGGTCTAAGAGTAGAAATTTGTGATTTTTTTTTTTTTACATATAAATATTTGTAGAAAAGTATAACTGTGCAGAAAGCTGAAAGTACTGGTATGAAATACAGCTGGAAAATATATAAAAAACATGATGAGACTCAAAAGATTCCCTCCTAGCTCTTGAAAGAATGTTTGCTCATTTCTAGTCTCGGCACTCTCAGAGAACGTGCAAGTTAAATTCTTCATCTACATTTTTTCTGGTTTGAAATGGAGAGTAAGCAGACTTTTGTGAAGTAGTAATACATTTCTGCATAACATCAAAAGAACTAGAATTTGTGGCAGAGCAGATATAAAGGGCAAAAAAAGGGAAAATCTTGGCAAAAAAAGCAAGTGGTTCATCCATATATATGCCACGTTGCACTGGGAAAGAACTACACAGGGCTCTTAAAATAAAAGTCATGAAGGGCATTAAAAAAAGAAAATATTTAGTGTCTATAACAATCATGCGTGTCCATTGAAAGCTGTTAGAGCTGATAGGGATAGGTAGGTAAGAGGGCTTCAGTTAGAGCTCTCACACACTTTCTTTGCCACCATAACTGATACTACCAACTTCCTGATGGGAAATGTGTGCTGCTTACAGTAAATCTTATTCCTAGGTCTGCTCAGTAAGGTGGTGCTTTCTTCTGTTCTCTTTTAAGATACTAACAGAGAAAGGCTGACGAGACGGGGCTGGTCAGGTAAAAGATTTTCCCATTAGTGCAAAAACTGTGTTATGTCAGGGCAGCAGCCAGGTCTTGACATCTACAGGGTACAGCCAAGCACGCTATTCACATCTGGGAGAGAAAGACTGGGATGCCTGCCATAGGTCAAAGCTCTCTCTCTCTCTCTTTCCATTCCTTCCTACACATCCCTATCAAAACACGGCTCTTGTATGCATATCCAAATGTGCTAGCGCTTACTTGTTGAGTATTTTGAAATTCCCCTATCCTTTAAGTGTCACATCTTAGCAACTTAAAAAACCCAGGATCTGTACAGGGACACCCTGAGGAATTGCTGTACTACAGGTTCCTGTACAAAGGGACTCTGTACTGCCCAGTGCACGAGGAGTCACCCAGGCACTAACTTGTTATAGGGGTGTCGGTGGGAGGATGGAGTTGGGGAAGAAGCTGGGCAATGGCTGCATAAGAAGAGAATTCAACTCTCCTTTTCAATTTTTGCAGCCGCTGAAAAGTCCTCTGCAATACAGACTAACTGGCTTGTCTTTGTTGCTCAGGCTTTGGTGGATTTGGGGGACGTGGTTCATTCTTATATTTTTATGCAAGAAAAGAAAACCCCAAGGAAGAGTGCCAGAATTATCCTGCTGTTCCCCAGATGGTTCTTCTACAAACCGTCTAATTCCTGCATTGTAGGCTTGCAGAAAGTGGGAACATCAAAACCACAAATCACAGAATGTAGTTACAAAATCAAAATGTTTGTCTAAAGGCAACTTGCCTTAACTGCTAGAAAAAGAGCTCACGGTATTACATACAGTACTGATAGCACTACTCTGAATTTTAAGTATGCTCAATACCTCTAATAATAGGAACTCAGTTTCAATTGCTAGCAATTTTACTAAACTTCACTTATTTGAACTATTTTCTCTAGTAGTTCTGCCTCTGGCTGAAGCCTTTTAGAACATTTTATGAAAATTCATTCATTTCCATCAACAAGGTTTTTTCCTTTACACCCTTAGCAGAAGAAATTAATTAAGGAAAATCATTACGTCACTTCTGTACCTATGCCTTATGGACAAGAGGACCCAACAGGGAGCAGCTCAGTGACTGAATAGTAAATCAACTGGAGTGCCCATGCTCTCATGAAACTACCTGCTTTGGTGCTTATGCTTTGTTATACGTCTTGTGGGCTGTAGGATCTAGACTTGCGCTGTGGTTTAGACCCTTCAAAATCAAAACTCTGTTTGAGGGGGGATGGGGACCCACCAGTACCACAGAACTAGCAGTTATAAACCTTGATTGCAGACTCCCTCCTACTCAAAGAAAGTTAACCCAAGAAAGATAAATGGTGGCTCGATTGTATTTTGCTAATGTATTCCCATAAATAGATCCTGTCTCTGAAATTATTTGCAGGCTGGCAACCTTGTTAAAAAGGAAAATGGTTACTGAATTCGCAATAAAGGTTTTACAAGAAAAAAAATAAGTAAAGATGCCATTAGGGTGAAGTCTACGAGGGTAAACCTCCTTAACAGTCTTAATTCAGTATTCTGTATGTAAAAGAAATGGAATCTATTGATTTCAGGAGGCTTCTGCCAAAGTGAACAGATCTCTGTAAGGCTAACAGATTTCTTCCTCTGAAATAAAAGCCTTTGTCATATAAAGACCTTTCCTAAATAGACATGATTTCTCTGCAGAGGAGGAGTTTTATTTTTGGTGCATGTCCTCCTTGATGATGGATCTGTAGAGAATGGGAACAACCAAAATTATAAATCTGCTGGATATGTCATTCTTGTGATGATGTTGGCAAGACAGGGGAGTCTCATTGTGGAGCTCCCCAAGGAGCAGCATGAACACACCCACAAACTTGGTACCATGCTCCTGGACTTGCACAAGCTGCACACCCATTGCCTACGTATTTATGGGGTACAATTTCTTTTCCCCAGTCCTGTTAAACAGAGTTATCTTCTACCTTGAGCGCAAGGAGTGGAATCTGTCTGACATTTTTGTAAATTCCTTTTGTTCTTCCCTAGATCTAGGCTGTGATGCACAAGAGAGCCAGTGTGAGGCAGGCATGCCAACAGTAGCTTCAAATATTTTGTACTGTTACTGAAAACTGTAGTCTCTTTTTAGCCCCTCTGCTTACAAGACTCAGGGAAAGCTGGACAGTTTGGGTTCCAGCCTCCTTTCCCACAGAGCTAAAGGAATTGTCTTGATTATTCTCATTTTTTGTATGGTAGCACAGTACAAAACTTCACTGTGCTACTACAGGAAAGCAGGTACTGCAGCATGGAACCCTCATGTTGAGCAAATATCTCTTAGTTCCAAGTGTAACACAGTAATTATTATAAAAATATTTATAAATATATAAACATATTTTTATTAAAAAAAACACAAATAAAACAAAAACAAGTCATTATCCTACAAATTTAAAGGAACATTACTTGGCTATGAAGATATACAAAATAAAATCCCAAATAAATCAGAGATATATTAAATATTATTTCTTGATATACACAAAAATTATTTTTTTCTATAAAGTTATAATAAAACATCATAATATTAATATTACTGATGCATTTGTATTTTATAAAATTTCATACATTGAGATACATTTATTAAATGCACCTTTTAATAGGCCAATTTCTCGATGTTGCCCTGGTACAGCATAATCCCCACTTCTCAAATTCTGAGAATTTGAACTCAGAAGCAACTGATTAGAATTCTACCAAGTGGATAATCCCTGTCTCCTCTTCATCTCAACACCACCAGTAAGTAACAA